GTATATTTTATTTTAGTGTAAGCACACCCTTCCTTATTAAAGTGCATAAATTAATGTTATTCCTAATAGATTTTTAGTAACTGATTTTACTGCTAGTTCTGTTGTTATAAATGCTTTCATTGTATGCATATACTCATAAAGAATTAGCAAATTTCATAAATAGAATATTATTAATTTATTGATGCATAACCTCATATATATCAATTTTTATATTTTCATGTACATGCTCTAATTGAATGAAATAAATATTATCATTGGCAATTCGTATCTTATGAAAGAATATTTGTCATATTAAAATTGTATAATTTATTGAAAGATGCTTATGAAAATTTTAAAAAAATCATATGTTTTGGTGCATTAATATGTATGTCGGTAGAGCCCTATTGGTAATTAGCTATTGAGGGCAGATGAGCCCCCAAAGTAACGACTCTACAAGAAAGAAATAATTGGATTTTCTTGAATTGGTGTTTACCTTCCTGGTGATGGATATTTGATAAATCGGCTATAGTTATATGGATATGAATGTTTTAAGTATATAATTGAATATATTTGAAAATAATAAATGACTGATAAGTCATTTGTGGTATGATGATGCCCAACATGATCACTTTAGAATGACATTATGTGTGCATGAATTTATTATATGCAGTGGTTGCAGAGATGAGGATGCTTAGGTGGATGAGTTGGCTTTACCCTTAGAGATAGGATACAAAATGAGCATATATGTGAAAAGGTTGGAGTAGCCCTAGTGGAAGATAAGATTAGAGAGAGTCGCCTTAGATTGGTTGTTCACATAAAAATGTGGCCTTCCAATAAACCGGATAGGAAAGTAGATGTAATAAATTTGACTTTTGTTAAGAAATGTAGAGATAGACCTATAAAAACTTGGTTAGAACATATTAGACATGATCTTTTTTATTAGATTTAAACGAGAATTTGACTTTTAACATGACACAATAGAGAAAAAAGATTCATATAGCTAGCCCCCACGTAGTGGGATAAAGGCTTGATATTGTTGTTGTATAAGTTGTATTAGCATATTAAAATCTTGCATATGAATCGTAACATAATCCATAACTATTTTGATATAATGACTATAGGTTGTTATTTTTACTCTTTGGTTCTTCATACTACATGCACCATACCTTTGCCATTTATGATTTTATATATAAGAGTTATTTTTGATTTATCAAACACATCCATTGTCTCTTTTAACAGCTGGTCTTATAAGCGTATTTAATTAAGAGCAGAGTTATCACTAGTAGTCTAGTTTTGGTGTTTTATATTTTATAGTAGTTTATTATACTTTTGATTATGATGGTTGGATAGTTTCTTTCATATTATTTATTTTATCTATGTTCCTTTTGGCTTGGATCAGAATTATTGCAATTTAGATGTACTAATTATCTACATTTTTTTAATGAATGAACTTTTTAATTCACTTTCTCTATTTACTTTGGTATTTATATACCTTGTTCTATCACTTGTATATGCACGTTTGTCATTATGAATACAAAAAAAGTCTTTATATATCTTCATCGCATCCCGTATTGCCAGGGTGTACCAAATTCTGAACAGCGGGTTTAACAGATCCTAAAATACTAATGTTACTCCTTCCTTTCTCTTTCAAAATATGTTGATTGAAGATTCTTCATTTAAAATCTTAATTAGAAAGACTTTTTTTATTTAACATTGAGAGGCTTAGGGTATGGTCAAGATTTGGTTAAAATTGAAAAGACTTGAGTTATTTTAATATGGCAGAATAAGAACTACTTTAAATAATCATTTCAAAATATTAAAATTGCTAAAGGGGAGATCATTCTAAAAAAAAGAAAAAAAAATAATATATATATTCTTACGATAATTTTGGTCTTTAAAAGAAGCAACAATAATCTTTCTCCTCTTCATAATATGGACAAAATTTTATTGGAAACAAAAATGTTGGGCTAAACATTTATCAAAGATGATAAAAATACTAAGGTTTTGTTTGTGACAACTTTTTTTTACCTTCTAAAGCAGGGGCTTAGTATAAAAATTTCTTGAACTATAAATTTTTATACTAGAAAGCTGCTTTAGAAAGAAGTACAAAAGTTGTCTCAAATGAAGCTTAAATATTTTCATTCTTTGATTAATAAAAGAAGTTCTATATATATAGTATTCATTAAATTAAATTGGCTAATGGTAATTGAATTATTAATGATATTTCTACCATTTCCTTGGCTATTAATCAATTTACTTCTAACAAAAACAAGTATGAGAAACTTGTTAATAATCCTATTTGGATTCCCAAAATATTTTATGAGGAAGAAATTTCCTTCTTCTTTAGAAGTCCTTATAAGAAGGAATTATTTTTACTAGCTTTAGTATGGATTTGTTAAATATATAGCTATTATTGATAACATTTTATTGGCTTAAGAGTTTGTTCATGCTCTGAATATTAAAACATTTATTCATAATATCATTTTTAAACTAGATGTTACTAAGTTTATGATAATAAATTGAGAATTTCTTATATAATACTATCTCTTTTTGTATCAAGTGTAATGTTGACTTTTGCTAAAGAATTGCATTGAAAGTACTTGGTTTTCTATTTGATCAATGATAAGGCTCATGATTTTTCTAATCATCTCCTCATTTTTTATTTCAAGAAAAAAGAGAACTCAAGGCAACAATGAATCTCACTGGTGATTTATGATTCTTAAGAATAAAAAAACATCAATTCTAATTCTTAGAAATCTTAATTGTGCAACTTTTAACTCCTTAAATCATAGGTAAATTTCAACTTCTCTATTAGAATACTAGCGAATAGCAAGACAAATTAATTCTAGGAGTTCTACCTCATCAGCCTTTAAATCTAAGTTGAATAGGTGGGTTATTTTCAGTGCTTCAATTTTGCCTTGTTATTGGACGTGTCCATCTTATTGATGACAACTTTTGAACCAATGACGCTTAGTACCTTAGATGAACACAATCCAATTAATATATGCTTTTGATTTCTAGTAAGTCACATTAACTCAAATTTAGCTTGAATAGTTTTGGATATATATGTTGTAATCCTAACATCTAATTGAATCATTAATGTTAATGAACGATCGTATTGTACAATGTATATCGTATTGTATGATTTATTTCTATCTTAGAAACCCTAATTACCAGATAAATTAAGCAAGAATTTTTAAAAATGAATTTTGTACTAATTGTACTATATGATATTTGAAATCTTACGTAAATAATCCCCCATGATTAGTCAATTAAATCTAGGCTTATTAAATATGGCTAATCATATTATACGACCAAGATTGTATCATACGATTGACAGAGATGAAGTTTAGTCATCCCAGATATCATACTGGATGAAATCTTGATTTTTGAACTAATCACATAGTACGATATCTATAACATAATGTAAAAACTATTGATATTACTCTGACCGTATTATACTATGTGAATCATATCAAACAATCGATAGACACGGTTTCCAATTGTAGCCATGGTCATCCTGTACGAATAGAGAGAAATCAAAATAATTAGTTTGTACGAAGTTACGATCATATTGTATGATATGTTTATTGAAATTGAACAGTTTGTCTGAACAATTTTTCCCGTCGTATTAGATGGGTTGTGTTTTTTGAATTGATCGCAATGTACGAGTCTAAATCGTATTGTACAAATAGAGATGTCCAATTGAAAAATTAGAGTGTTTTGAAGCCTAATACTTAAGCAACCTTTTGAAGTCTTTTTCATAAGGACTTTGGCTATTAACGGAACTCTGAGGGAGATTTTTTCTTGAGAGCTTTGAGTTTAGAGAGGAAGAAGGTAAGGTTGCGTGTGAGGGAGGAGTGTTAGAGGTTACACATGGTTGCTCCAGGCAAGTTTGCACCTAACTTTCTCCTGTGGCCTTGGTGAGTTCTTAAATATTCTCTTGGGAGAGAAGCTTCAAAGTCAAGAGTTTGGGGTTCTCTATCTTCTCCAGGAGGGAGAAAGAATATAGTTCTTTGCCATCACCAGGATGGTAAAGAAGGATTTCAGGTTCTCTGTATTCTCCATAAGGGAGAAAAAAAGATTGTGGTTCTCTGCCTTCTTTAGGAAGGAGAAAAAGGATTCAAGGTCTGTTGTCGTCACCATGAGAGTGACATAGCTTCTGGTTCTCTGCCGCATCATGTTTGGTGGAAGTGATTCTTATGAAGGCTTCTCCGCCTTGCTGTGAGGGCTAAATGAGAGACAATATTGATTAGTGCAATACCCGAAGTGGAGGACTTTGGGGAATTGACGTAGGTTAATGTTGATCGAACTACTATAAAATCTCTAGTGTGCTATTTCTTATTTGCATTTTACTTTTCTGCATTTTTTATTTCTGCAATTTGAATTTACTACATGAATCTTATCATTTACTATCAAATGCAATTAGGTTAAAAATCATATCTTGATTGATAAACTTGTGCCTTAAAAATGAAAATTTTTTTAAACTCTAATTTGCTTCAGCATATGCTAAGTTACTTATTTAGAATTGTTTTCAAAATCTTTTTGTAGCAAGAAAATTTTTATTGTTGCAGTAATTTTTTTTTAGAAAAAATACCAATTCACCATCCTCTTGGTGCACCTCAAAATAATTCATTGATGTCTAACAATCTCTCTGAACTTTCAATATCCAAGTTATACTAAAAAAATTTAATTGAATATCAGCCATTTTCAAGTTTAATAAAAAAAATATTTAATAAGTTACTTATTGAAAAAAATATTTATGAATACATATAAATAAGTTAAATTATATTCACAATTTATTCATTAATTTTTAAATATATTTAATGTCTCTTCATAATTTTTTTTTGAGCAGGTGAGTATTGTTTTTTTACTGATGGCCCACAGTCAAATCTAAACTTATTGTTAATGTCCTTTTTATTTTTCGTTTCAAATTTCATGCAGCATAGTGGCATTTTAGTTATTACACTAAATATGCGTCGCAGACTTGGTTAATCTTTGAGCGTTATAATAATCGGATGACACGTCGCTTTTCATCCCTCGGCCATGTTGACGCCCGGAATCTCCACAGCCTCCATTAAAGAACAGAAGCTCGCTGATGAGCGAAACCGGAGAAGCGAACGAGGTGGTCTCACTACCCGAGAAAACGGCGCCGAGAACTGATTCTGTTGTTCAAGCGGTGTGCGGTGGATTCAGCGACCTGAAAGATGATGGCTAGGGTTGTGAGGCGTTCGATCTCGGCGGCATTCATGGTCTCGGAGAGGAGCTGGGCACCCCCGGCTCTTTCCTCCTCTTTCTCATCCTCTTCTCCTAATGGATGTTCTTGGTGCTTTGGATCTAAGACGGATCTCCATTTGCGCTTTTATTCTGCCGTGGCGGCTGCGGAGGAGGTGGCCGGCGGGCTTAGAGGGATGACGCTTAACGGCAGGCTTAGAAGCGAATGGGACTTATTGGGAGCGAAAGAGTACCTAGAGTATAGGAGATCTCTCTATGGGGAAATAACACACAAGGCGCTCCTCGTGGACGCCGTCGGCACTCTTCTCGTCCCCTCCCAGCCGATGGCACAAGTAAACTTCCTCATTTGATTATTATTTTTATTGATACGCTGTTTTTAACTCTACGAGACTTTTCTTTGATTTACTACTTTCTTTTTTCATTACTGTGATTGTTAGAATTTTTAAAACGTGCCAAGTAATGATCTCGACATTTCCCCTTTTTATAAGCACGATGGTATGAAGAAAATTATTTTATTGTTTTCTCTCTCAGATATACCGACAGTTTGGAGAGAAATACGGTGTGCAGTTCTCGGAGGATGAGATACTGAAAAGATATCGCTGGGCTTATGAGCAGCCGTGGGGCAGATCCAGGCTTAGGTATTGCCCATTTACGGTTTATATTTTGTTGGCTGAATTGTTTTCAATCAATGCAGCCTATCTTTGCCAGAGCTTGAGACCTTGATTATACGGCTGGCTGCCTGAATTTTTGATTAATTCGCTCAGTCTAAAATCGAGATTTTTGCGTCAATCCTTACGAAAACTGGGACGCTCGTATCTCTTTGACTTCTTACATAGTAATTTTTTTTTTGGGACATTTAGGCCAATTAAGACAAACTCACACACATTGCATAGGCAAGACTAGAACCCAAGATCTTGGTTGGTAGCCAAAGCTCCCAACCAATTGATAAGGTGAGCTGCGTATTGGCAACTTTGTTTTTATTTTTGTTCTAAGACCATGTCCAACCGAACTCCATATCATCGTATGCTGTCCGCCATTTGCTCCATTCGAACTCCAAATTGCATGCTAAATTCCGGTAGGTGAACAATACGACGCCAATATTGGGGTCGAACTATTCACCAATGCAAAAAAAAAAAAAAATCACTGCAGGATTTGCCAAAGAAGCGCGAAAGTGGAGAAAAGCGCGTCAAAGATGGTTACCTTCGTAGGAAGCACGCAAAAGAAAAAGAAATGACGTTTGATTGGAGAAAAATAACTGCATTTTGGAGTGGAAATGGGTTTTTCGGTTGGAGATGCCCTAAGTTGTTCCCTGTATTTGGATCCTCTCCATCTGTTTGTATGGGTAATGCTTTACTACAAAAAAATCAACGCATAAAAATAAAAAAATATTAAATATCATATTTCAGTCAATGCATCGTTTTAGTGTTTTATTTCTTATATTTGACTTGTTGACTTGTTGAACTCATGTGGTGATAGGAGAGAATACAAATCTCTCTTCGCCCTGGAGTATGGACTGTGGACTGCTAGAGTTTACAAAGCCTTCATTATTTGCTGCTGAATTCTGCAGGAAATGCTTCGAGCTAATGTTGTTATATTGATCTGTTTCTTCAACGCTTTATACTTGGCTTACATGATGTCTTTCCAATAACGATTTTCCCAAACCATCACAAATCTGTTAAAAGTTAATTTCGCTTTGTTTTATTGTTGATGAGTGTTATATTGTGCTTACTGTTACTAGAGTATTGGCATTTATTTTTAATTTTTTTAATCTTTTGTCAACTCCTAAACCCAGGCATAAGCGAGTATCAAACCCAAAGTCTTGACAATAATTTTTTAGACTTTTATCAATCTAATTAGTTGGCACCCACAGAGTAATGTTATTATTAGATTTTTAAGTCTTTAAAGTTAACTTTTTGTTAGCATCGATCGTATAGGATTTTTTCTGTTTACTGTTAGCAATCATTTTTATATGATTGCTCCTTGCTCGTTTAATATGGGTATCAATTTAAAATAAATAAGCTGGTTCTTGACGAAGGAAAATATTTTCATCTCATGATCAGACAACTTGTACAATTGACTCTGTTGAACCTTCAGTTTTTTCTATTTGCTTTTTATGTGAAGGAAGTGGAAATTTTCTAATTCAAATTCTTTTGTGCATTTGAAAGTACTGCCTTGCTGGGTACGTGGCAAACATAACACTACTAGTTTTATCTTTTACTTATAATAATTAATCCACCATTGTTCTCCTTATTGATTATGATGATGGTTGTGAATCAGTTTCATTTGTGTGTAGTTTTATGTGTCTTGGGTGCACCTAACCTATTATTTGCTGATAGCCTTTTTTGGGAGTGAATTGATAGTATTTGTTCTTCGCTCTTCGTGTTTGTTTTTATACTCCTATTTATTTTATCAAAACGAGTGAATAGATGGAGTATCATGATTTAGCTTGAAGGGAATGATGACCCTTTTTGGTATTTCTTATTTGCTTTTTGATTCCTAGAAATAGGAAATTTTAGCTTCCAATATCAACATTGGCTTAATTCAGTCATCTATGTGAAGTTTTTATTATAGCACTTTGTCTATATTTATTGATCGTTGCAAATGACTATGTACCACACGAGTACCATTGTTAATCCTAATATTAACTAAGGTAGGTCAAGCTTTCAAGTCCTTCGTATCCATTTCTTGGTATTTGAAATGAATGCTGCATATCACTTGTAAATGGTGGAATTTTATTGTTCCCAAGAAATTGAGAGATCGACAAACATTCAAGGTGTTTAAGATAGAGAATAAGACAAAATAGTAGATTGAAGTTACTTTGTTAGCGAGCTGAGAAATAAAATAGCACAAGAAGAAGATAAGAATTTATAGTTGTAGGTCTGCAAACCTGCGTTCACTGTTATGGTGATCAAGAAAAAATATACACTGTATTGATAACTAAAATACATTCAAGAGATTCTATTATAGTGTTTGGAGAGCTTTCCCTAAAGCACTGTGAAAGGATGAGAAGGAGAAGAAATAAATACAATTAGGAGAAGTTACATTCGAGAGAAGTGCAACTTTATATCATAATATCATATGGGAGGAAAAACAAAGAAAAGCAATACAAGTGGCATTCAGGTTTTTTGTGAAAGATGGGATAGAGGATTTAGCTGTAGACTTTAGAGAGAATCTCTTAAGCTATAAACCTCAATGTTCAACTTGAATGTTGGTGATGAAGGCGAATGAGAATTCTCAGGTGGCATTTGGAGATCCTGATAGTTGAATGGAGAAAATCTAAAAATTTACAGGCGAGCAGGTAGACTAGAATCAGTTGTCGTTGGATGAACTAATCATGGGATTTTCTTAATGTTTTAATTTGTAGACTTATTATTAGGATAGGCTAGTGGTATTTGATAATAATGATGGTCAGATGATGTCAGTACATTGATTGAATAAAGGGTGAGTTGGCATCCTTTTCATGTATGATGGAGCAAAAAATTCAGGATTTAGACTATAAGAAAAGTGACAGCACTTTGTTTTGATTAATCATGGGTTTAATATTTCGCTTGAGTAGCGGGTTATAACATCAATAATTGGTTGTTGGAATCTATCTAAATGGTGTGATGAGGAAAGGTCCTTTGGAGAGCACATCGGTTGAGAAAAGCATGCTTGTAGAGTTGCAGTAGAAGTCAGGAAGGTTTCTGATAGAAGCTAAGAGGATCATAAGAAAATCTCTCTTGAGGAGACCTCCCTTGAGGAATTCTTAATTACTCTCAAGTGGAACTCTAGAGAGACTCCTAAGAGCAATCTCAAGGACTCCCGAGAGGACCCATTGAGACACCTCACTTAAGTAAAGTTTATGTTGATGTGATATTATCATGTTAAGGCTTGGTCTTATGTTGTTAGCCTCATAATGAGCACAAAAGGTAGAAATTGCATTAGATTTTTGGGTAATCTTTTAAATTTATATTATGCCCCCTTATTTTGGGGAGCTATTAGTGCAACACATAAGGACTCAAAATTTGTTGTGTTTCTTCAACCCACCAAACTTCAAACTTCAAAGAAACAATCTTTTTTTATCAAACAATCATGAAGCACTCAAGGCAAGATCTCCTCAGCCATTTGAGGTTTGGAAGCTTCAATAAACTAGGACATTGCTATTGCCATTGTTGTAGCAATGGCAAGGACAGTATGCTATCCTTCCCCTAGCATTTCACGTGGTAGATTTGAACTTCGAAGCATCTAAGATTGATGATGAGAGGATTGCAATAGAATATGGGATTTAAAAGTTGATGAGGTCCAGCGTGAGGGCGAAATTGCGCCATTTGTCAGGTTCATGGCAACAATTACCACCAATCTAAGTCTAGGTAGCTTGAGGAGCAACAAGGAGGAAGAAATAGTTGAGCTATAATAAGTTGACGTCCTTTTGCTGACAGAGGATGAGCATGCAAGAGAAGATGTTGGAGGTAAGTTTGAAGAAGAGGAGCAGGTGAATGAGTGAGAAGGTGAAGAAGTCTGTTCTTGAGAAAGAAAAGTTCAGGCTTTTTCTAACATTGTCGCCGAGGTTTCTAGTGATGATGACTTGAGCGAAAAAGTGGAGAAGCTACAAGATGCAATGGCTCTAATAGCGATGGAGCTCCAAATATTAGTTGGAAATAAATCATTATTTCCATCAAGGATTATAATTTAGAAGTTAGAAGTACTAACAATGTATCCAAAATTGTCAAACCTAACAGATAATTACAGACTTGCACTGATGATACAGAATTGATGGTATGAATGCTAGCTTCTTTATGTGCCATTGCAACCCTTTGATTACAGTTATATATATAACTTGGAAGAGTCTATCATGACACGTAAGATTTAGGTTTAAGAACTACATTTTATGTGTTATTATTTTTAAAACTTCTTAATTATATTTGACTTTTACTTACTCATTTCATTTAATTTGAATATCTTATATTTTAATTATGTGATATTATATATATTTTGCTATATTGTGCCACTGATATTATTGAATTATTGGTGCATTATTCATTTTTTATGTGATTTAGAATTTTTTTTTAAATGGTGCACATCATACCTTTGTCAATGCATTATAGACAACACGGTACAATATATTAATTTTTTTATCTAAATCAATATGAACAAATGGAGAATAAAAATTCATAAAGTATTTAGATAAGACTAATAATAATATGGTGATATTCATTACTTGTTGATGCGTCGGATGCCGCCCACCATGTCAAAACTGTCTAAATATTATAGTTTTGTTGTATATTTCATTCCTTGTCTTCTAATTAGACCAAAGTATGTGCTTTAGAGGTGTTATATGGTAAACTGTGTAGAATAATAATTCTTTCAGCCTTGTTTACATTTTTCTTCTCTTTGGTTTACAAACAATTGCAGATATGTTGATGATGGGAGGCCCTTTTGGCAATTCATTGTCGCTTCCTCCACAGGTTGTTCAGATTCCCAATATTTTGAAGAACTTTATCAATACTATACTACTGACAAGGCAGGTCTTTTTCATCTTTCAGTCTTGTGGATATATTACTAATATTTTATCTTCAAGTGATGCTTATTTAGTTATTTATTTAATTTTAGGCATGGCACCTTTGCGATCCTGATGCAGAAAAGGTCTTTGAAGCTGTTAGAGAAGCTGGGGTGAAAGTAGCTGTTGTTTCAAATTTTGACACTAGATTACGACCTCTACTAAGGGCTCTTAAGTGTGATCACTGGTTTGATGCTGTTGCTGTCTCTGCGGAGGTAAGTGACATATCTCAATTTATTGTTTTTTTTTCTCTTACGCCACCTCAACAACTTGATCTTAATGTCATATTATAATGTTTTTGTTTTTGCGATATTTGGCTCGTGTAAATACATGGTTAATTCAAGTGAAAACTTGGGTTAATTTGATCTCGCTTTGTACCCTGCAAAACTAGCATGGTTTCTTCCGAAATATGATGCTGATCTCATAGTAGTTTTTAAATTTAATTTACTTTCAAATAAACTTGTTCTCGTTTGTGTACTTTTCTTTTAACAATAATAGGTAGCAGCAGAGAAGCCAAACCCGACCATATTTATCAGGGCATGTGAGCTATTAGGAGTGAAACCAGAAGATGCTGTGCATGTAGGTGATGATAGGAGGAACGACATATGGGGTGCTAGGGATGCTGGCTGCGATGCTTGGCTTTGGGGAAGCGATGTCCACTCTTTTAAAGAGGTACTTTATATTAAATCTCTTGATGAACTTGTGCTGCTTCCAGTTCCTTTTCTTTGATAAGGAGCCACTAGATGGTATTCTGAAAGGCCTCATTAATCTTATATATTTTACTAATAGCTGTGTTATTAATAAATTAATTCATTCTTTTTTTTTTTGTTTTTTGAAATATACATATTCATAAATTCTCATATTGTATTAAAAAAGTATTTAACCACACATTTCAGAAAAAACTTAGTACTTTTAAGATTTATATAAATCTAAAACATACCTGATATAATTGACAAAGTGAGCAATAGTTAGTGATTTTGATATACATATAATGGGGTCATTTGGAAAATATACTCTTATCTTGTGTTAAAGAGAAATATCCCCTAAAGTCTATTTTGGATGAAAAGGCCTTTTATGTATTTTATGAGTGATCTTCCCTCATCTAGACTCAAACGGTAGAACTTTTTCGTTGCTCGGATGTCCTGATCAAGGCATCTTCTGTATGGCTCGTCGTGCCATACTAATATTTTTTAAATGCCTTTAGCAAACATCGCTTCCTTATTTGAAGTAGAATGCATTCATTGACCCTTGCAATTTCAACAATCCTTTAGGATGGAAAAAGGAGATTGGTTTGATAGTTGTGTTTAAACAAAAGATTTGAGCATTAGATTAGAACCCTAGGTTTGAAAATGAACTTTTGACGATGATAAGAGGTTCAAGCTAAAGTTTGAATAAGGTTCATACCACATAATATATGTTTGAATCTTGTTCAAACCTAAATATTGTTTGAATAATTTAGACCTGAGGTTTGATTATTATAATCAAACTAAAGTTTGAAACAAAGATTTGAACCTTGATCATATATAGAAACCAGATTTGAATATTGGTTTCAACAACGAAATTAGGTTTGAGCAAGGTAATGCTATTCTTGGAGTAATGTAATCAAGTATTATTAAATCTTGTGATAGTATAATTAAGTGTTGATTTAATTCTTGGAGCTATGTAATTAAGTGCTAAATTAGTTTTTTTTTTTTTTTTCGTTCTATTATATGTTGCTGCGTGAGGTTCTTGTTCGAGCACAATTCAAGCACAATTTGAACCTAGTTCGAACAAAAAACTAATGCACTAGACATATTAACATAGTTTTGGATCTTTTGGAGCTTAACAAAAATAATTCCTAATCAAAATGAAAAGCATTGCAACATATAATATAATCAATCACCAATACAACACTCAACTTTATTGATCCAAGAATTAATACAACACATAATAATGTTATCACAAAAATTATGACCACTTAATTACATTACTCCTGGAATTAGATTAAATAGAGCCAATCATTGACATTATTTTAAACAAAGTTACCTGACAGATCATTACCAAACTCAAATGCTAACCTTTTACATCAAATAGAATTATGCTAACAATTTTACAACTATGACAAAGTATTGGTTAAAAGTCTAAATGATGTAGGAACATCATAGCTATTATTAAGCTTAAGGACTAGCATACCTTTAATATTCTAGATAGTTCTATTTTGTTCAATAAATAGCTAGCTAATGTAAGAGAGTGGGACATTATTGATGAAATATATTTCTCCTTGAAGCTTTTAAGCTTGTGTTCTTGATGTGAAACCAACATGCGCAGGAGCTCATTATGAAATTTTAAGAATAAATTGGCAATGTAATTCCATTCAATAGCTTATTGCAATAATCAAGGAATTTCAATAAAGAACCTTAGTCTTCAACTAGCTTAGGCGAAAAAGTACACATAGATTAGCCAAAACTACTAGGTAACCAAAGATAGTAGCAATACCAAAAGCTATTAATCAACAATCCGCAACTTAGTAATGAGAATTATCACCTTGGGGATGGATCACTCAACTACACTTGGATTAGCGGAAGAAGGTCTTTAGTATACCCAACGATGCCACGAAGACGGTTGCAACCCCAACGGCCTTGAACCACGGAGAGGTTGACGGTGGAGAGGACGGCTCGCAAGAGTAGGAACCACCCGATCCAAATAATTTCCGGTGTAGAACGAAAAAGGAGAGGATCTCCTCTCCAAAAATCTGAGACAAATTTTGATTTCTTTGCCCACAACCTGAGAAGAGTCTTGATCTTGCAAAACAGCAGCTTTGTGACTTCAAGTGGCTGTGAAAACACTGCCAGTTGCTGGAATGCTCTGGCTGCAACTTTAGACGGCAGAAAATTCCAACATATGAGTGAATTTGGGTGGAGATTTGTGGAGGGAAATTAGCACATGAGCCATGGGGGGTTTCCGGCCAGCAGGGGAGAGCAACAGGCAATCTTTCCAAAGCGATTTGCTCAACTTATGGAAAGCTTTCAAACATCCAGCAATAAAGGGGAAGGGGGAGTGGCGGGATAGGGATGTGG